GTCTTGGGACAACATTGCCTGCAAAGGGACCTGCGGAAAAGGACGTTAAGAGGCACTGTGTGTTAGAATTAGCAGCGAGCAAGGAGTTATTAGGCTTCTGAAAGGACACAGATGTCGGTAATATCACAGAGCTGCGGATTTGCAGGCCTTGCATTCTGAGCATCTCATTCCATGGCCTGAAGACTGTAGCACTCAATAAAGCTGGAATCAGAAAATTGAAGGCGACTGAAATGAATATTTGAAGATCAATAATGCGAATTAAGTGGTACTTCTGGTACCAAGTTGTGTTGTAAGAAAAAGAAAGAACTGGAATATTCAGCTGATGCCACCGACTGGCTGCGAACAAGGCGCTTAAGAGATGGCAGTCATCCAACAGGAGGGAAAGATCGTTGGAACTGATGTGACATCGGAAGGTTATATGGGCAACGAAGTCTAATTCTTGCCCGTGGTTTGTGATCATGATACCACCATGTGTTCATTTACCCAGACTTTGATCATTCTGAAGCCTTTCACAATTATCAAGCTGGATGGTGCGGAGTACCTTCCTCATTTTTAGCATACATCGATGACAAAGAAATCGTTAGTGAGCATGAAAACTATTACAGATACCATATATTTTGATATTATATTACCATATCTATTGATGAGCATGTTTTATAGCAACTCAAAACTCGCTTGTCTAAAGCAACAACGTGCAGAAATCATGAAATTTTCATCCGCTTGCCAGAAGGAATGGAGACCTATCGAGAAGTCCAATTTCATGGCTCTACTCGCGAACTGGGAACTACTATCCTGATTGAACGGCACTGTGCACTGGATGTGGACAGAGCTTAATATAATTAACACGACAAGAATTATCCACAGGGAGACCATAGGAAACAACATTATGCCATCAATACCATGAACGGCGAAAAAATATACTGTGTATGCTATTAATATGCATATTATTTTTCTTCTTACCGTAAGCTTCTTTTCGAGTAAATATACGCTCATCCTCTGATATGCAATAAATTCGTTCAGTGCAATTTTGGTCCCCATCAGTTCGGCGACGATCATTGTTTCATCGATCCGCTTCTGCATATCTGCTTCCAGACTGACGCCCATTATGAACGCTATCGGAAAAAATATGTACGATAAGAGCCTCTAAAATACAGTTTCCCGATAATATGCCTTGTATCATAATCATCTTATAGAATTGACAAGCATATTTCTTAGCAACGAAAGTTTGGAGGGCTCTGAGGTGGTTGGAGGCATCATAGGCGAAACTGCCTCAGGTTGCACGAATCGTTCAATCCTCGGCGTTGCCGTCACTAAGAGCAGGTCAGTATCAAATAATGGAAAGACACGACGATTGAATTGCGGTAGATTGTACATTCCTGAGCGACAGAGGTAGCTTTGAGGCCTGTAATGAACCCTAAGACAATCCATTGAGTCATGTTGATTGAGATTCACTGTTCATACCACCCAAAGAAAGCATGACAAAATCATTCTCACAGCTTGTCTACCCTTTGAATGAAGAATGGAAGAACGCAGGATCACAACAATCTTGAAAGATATTACCAAGTAAAGAAAAATGGTCATATTTCAGATGATAATTGAGTGATCGGGGTATTTAGAAAATTTTGGTCTTGACTTTTTGAGAATTCTGCTTTCATCTTGTCATCTCTCTGAAATAAAGCCCGCCAGTTCTTTTTTCATTATGATTACTACATGACATCTGAACCGCCTTCACAAGTTTGCGGACTTTCACTCATTGTCTGAAAAATATCACAGAATCGATTTGAGACAAATGCCGCCACCAACCTCAAAAGAAAAGTTCTCCACTCCAACCATCGACCCAAGCCAGGCAAATACCGCGTTAATAAATGCCAACAGGGCGGTGAACACAATAAGGTTGCTACCGATTTGGAAGATGATAGTGATAACGCTGGTTGCCCCAACGCTAATGGCCTCCAGAACGTTCTTGTATAACCTACGAAAAGAATAATTGAAAATTTGGTTCTAAATCTCAGCTGTTATCGCCTACCCTTTAGGTAGCTTCAGGTCTTCAATCCGTTTCGTCTTAGATTCCTCGGTTTCTGGGTAGAAAAGCTTCGACGAAGATAAAGCCGCAGGTGCCGACATAATGCTGGCTGACAGTATGTAAGATGGGCACGCCTAGAAGGTGTAATAATTTTAAATCAGTTCATTGAGTCGTCAAGCATTTCATCTTAAATTCACTCACTCACTCGCTCACTCACTCAATCAATCAATCAATCAACTTCCATGGCCCACTTGTGCTTTCGAGTCGTTGATACAGCAATGTTTGAAATTCCCGATCTTGTAATAGCGTCTGAACATTTTCCGTATCTGGAAAGGAGCCCATGGTGGCAGTTGCCCTCATCATTCTTCACCTTTTCCGGGGTCTTTGGGGGAACTTTGTTACAAAGGCATTTCAGATATGCTACTTCTTACATTTTGATCTTTTAAAAAAGCATTCGAAGCAAGTTTAATGAAAATCACCATGGATAAGAAGTTTGTATAGGACCATAATTTAAATTGTTAAGAAGTTCGTATAGCTGTTGAATTACAGGAAAACATTTTCAAAGAAAATGGACTAGATTTGATCTGTGCATAGAGCGACAAGGCGCCTGTGACTGACAACTACCTTCATGAGATCGATGCTGGTGTACGTCTAGTGACTGTATGAATTATCGTTTTGGGGAAGCAAGCTCAAGAGTGCTCTAAAGGTTTTCCACAAGCGACTTCAAACAAACAAATAATACGCTCTTACTCCAAGAGACACGTATGCCGCAAACAGGGAACCGGCGATGGTCGAAAATCCTCCACACAAGACAGCGACTACTTCGGACTTGGTCAGTTTAGCAAGGTAAGGCCGGATGAGGATCGGTGCCTCGGTCATGCCGAGTATGATAGATGCAACGGCGTTTAGCGATTCAGCCGCTGTTGTGGTCATTGTCTTTTGCGTGATCCATGCGAACCTCATCAGCACGAACTGCATGATGCCAAAATGGTACAAAACGGCCACGCAGGAACCGAAGTACAGAATGGCTTGCAGCACCTGTACAGTGGTGTAAAGCGGTTGTAAAGCGAGGGTTCATTACCGAAAACAGGAGAACCGGATTCATGCCGCAGATCGCTGGCGGCACGGCTAGAAAGCCGTACACGAACTGCGTACCGTAGACCGTGTAGTCGAGGAAAGTAATCATCTGCTTGGATATCCATCCGAACGCATCGACGCCTGGCTGCCACTGCATGACAATTAGCCCTAGCACAAACTGGATGCCATAGCCCCAAAACACCGGACGCCATCGAATCTAGACAGAGTTGGAGGTCATCGAAAATTTCGGTTGTTCTAACGACTGAAATATCGTTTTCTGTCGTGAAAAGGGATTTCCTTTCCGTACCCTCTACGTGTATGCAGAACAGAAACGAAATAAGTGCAGATTTAGTTTACAGCAGATAACTTATAACATTAATCACATTAGCTATACTATGTATTTGCCAGAGAAAAACAGTATATAACATTATAAAATCTATACATAACACTGCATTTCTTAATATTTGCCCTCCACCGAACATGAAGTAAACTCATTGAAAGAAATGTCACGTTATCCCTATCAAGCTTGGACTGCCTGTGTTGGTAGTCATATTGGGAAAGCACCATAGAGGCGAGTTTATTGTGTGCAGTGAAGATTATAGGACGATGGCAACGGTATCGGACTACCGCCTTATAAATCGTATATGTCGCTGTGAATAATAAAACCGTAATTTGTGTTGTTTTTCTGAACACGCCTGTGTGATTCCCACATTACATCAGTCCTTCAATTTTTATGACCGCTTATTCCTTAGGGTCGCT